TCATTCATTTGAACAAACTTGGTAGCCCTTCACCCTAGCATGCTACTGACCAAATATCATCTCCCTGGGCAGTTTGGTTATTGAGAAGAAGTTGTTTAAAGTTTTTAACATATTTGACCCCTGTGACCTTGAAAATAGATGAAGGTCATTTATTTGAACAAACTTGGTAGCCCTTCATCCCAGTTTGCTTCTGGCCAAATATCATCACCCTAGCCCTTTCGGTTATTAAGAAGAAGTCGTTCAAAGTAAAATATTGACGCCGGACGGACGCCGGACGGACGCCGGACCCCACACCACGGCATAAGCTCACTTGTCACTTTGTGCCAGGTGAGCTAAATAACGACTGTATTTATTCTTACATTTATGTAAGAGTCTAAAAGAACCTATATATTATTCCTGTGTGATGGAGAGAGAGAATGCTCGACCTTAGGGGAAACTTTTTTGAAATTTAGCACTCGGCTAAAATTAAATCATATCCCAAAGGTAAGATTTCACACAGAAATTGATGATTATTTTTCTTCCTTACTATCCTTACGTAAAAAAGTCTATGCTGCATAAAGTGATGACGCGATGATGACGTTTTCAGAATAGTAGTGAGTGTAAGTTGTCCTTTTCCTAGTAGATTACTAGGACAAATTTACTTTTTCCATAAGGAAAAACGGGAATGCACCCACATTATGTACTGTATAAAGTGTGGGAGATAAAAAATAAATAAGAAAAAATGTGATTCATGAAAAAATACAAGCCACTGAAAATTATCTGCAATGTTAGCCTCAAATACAAAACGTATAGCGTAAAAGTAAAATGTCACAATTTGTCGTTCTGGGAAATTAATAACTATAGAAACAACCATCTGTGTACATCATACAGTATAATTACAGTATAATTACAGTTATGAAATATTTAATTATCTACATTCACTCTGCATTGCCATTTTATAAGTCTCCAAAAGTCGGTGTGATTTATGAGACCATAAAACTTGAGTTATAATCATCACGTCATTACAATTGTGAAGTCATAAACATTACAATGAACATAGATGGCCGATACTATTTCAAGTGTGACGTCAACAACATTACGTTGGTCATAGCTGGCCGAGACTATATGTTGGCTGTTCCATTTACTGAAGATCAATATCAATATACTGTCAAAATCAACGGTAAATAAAAAGATTCCTATTGAACTGCATTCTGTTCAAAATTATGGCCACTCTATACATTCTAAACAGGACAATTCGAATTATGCATGTTGGTGCATTATGGGTGTTTGTTCAGAATTATAGGGCTATAGCTCAGTACAGAATTATAGGGCTATAGCTCTGAACAGAATTATAGTGCTATAGCTTTGAACAGAATTATAAGGCTATAGCTCTGTACAGAATTATAGGGCTATAGCTCAGTACAGAATTATAGGGCTATAGCTCTGAACAGAATTATAGGACTATAGCTCTGAACAGAATTATAGGGCTATAGGTCAGTACAGAATTATAGGGCTATAGCTCGGAACAGAATTATAGGGCTATATATAGCTCAGTACAGAATTATAGGGCTATAGCTCAGTACAGAATTATAGGGCTATAGCTCTGAACAGAATTATAGGACTATAGCTCTGAACAGAATTATAGGGCTATAGGTCAGTACAGAATTATAGGGCTATAGCTCGGAACAGAATTATAGGGCTATATATAGCTCAGTACAGAATTATAGGGCTATAGCTCTGAACAGAATTATAGGGCTATAGCTCTGAACAGAATTATAGGACTATAGCTCTGAACAGAATTATAGGGCTATAGGTCAGTACAGAATTATAGGGCTATAGCTCGGAACAGAATTATAGGGCTATATATAGCTCAGTACAGAATTATAGGGCTATAGCTCTGAACAGAATTATAGGGCTATAGCTCTGAACAGAATTATAGGACTATAGCTCTGAACAGAATTATAGGGCTATAGGTCAGTACAGAATTATAGGGCTATAGCTCGGAACAGAATTATAGGGCTATATATAGCTCAGTACAGAATTATAGGGCTATAGCTCTGAACAGAATTATAGGGCTATAGCTCTGAACAGAATTATAGGACTATAGCTCTGAACAGAATTATAGGGCTATAGGTCAGTACAGAATTATAGGGCTATAGCTCGGAACAGAATTATAGGGCTATATATAGCTCAGTACAGAATTAGAGGGCTATAGCTCTGAACAGAATTATAGGGCTATAGCTCAGTACAGAATTATAGGGCTATAGCTCAGTACAGAATTATAGGGCGATAGCTCTGAACAGAATTATAGGGCTACAGGGCTTATAATTACAGGTGTAACTGTCACACCAAATATCACCTACAAGTATTAACCTTATATCACTACAGATACCAGTGATAACAAATATTGCTACAGATTATACTGTCACATTCTAGGTATGAAATAACTGACTAGTTTATACACTGTAACACAAACCTACAGAAAGCCACCAGGGGCAGTATATGTCCCCCGAAAAGAGGCAAGTTTGCAATCAACCCACATGGATTTGCTCAAGAAATGCAGGGAACTTGCACACACATCTGTACAATCTATTTTAAAGTTATTGTATCTGGATGTCCTACCTATTCTCTGCGTATAAAATGAAGATTTAACTTGTTTTTATCATTAGTTTTAAGTTGAATAACCTCAGTATATGCAAAATTCTATTTTACCAATAGTTATCATCACTTTTTGGTGGATCACATCAAAAATCAATATGATTATTTGCATCTGCTAGTGCTATCCACACACCAAGTTTGTGCTTGCCAGTGATATCCACACACCAAGTTTGTGCTTGCTAGGGCTATCCACACACCAAGTTTGTGCTTGCTAGGCCTTTATACACACCAAGTTTGTGCTTTCTAGGGCTATCCACACACAAAGTTTGTGCTTGCTAGGGCTATCCACACACAAATTTTGTGCTTGCTAGGGCTATCCACACACCAAGTTTGTGCTTGCTAGAGCTATACACACACCAAGTTTGTGCTTGCTAGGGCTATCCACACACCAAGTTTGTGCTTGCCAGGCCTTTATACACACCAAGTTTGTGCTTGCTAGGGCTATCCACACACCAAGTTTGTGCTTGCTAGGGGTATCCACACACCAAGTTTGTGCTTGCTAGGGCTATCAAAACATTAGATGTGGCCTTGCTAGGGCTATCCACACACCAAGTTTGTGCTTGCCAGGCCTTTACACACACCAAGTTTGTGCTTGCTAGGGCTATCCACACATCAAGTTTGTGCTTTCTAGGGCTATCCACACATCAAGTTTGTGCTTGCCAGGCCTTTACACACACCAAGTTTGTGCTTGCTAGGGATATCCACACACCAAGTTTGTGCTTGCTGCAACACACCAGGTTTGTGCTTGCTAGGGCTATCCACACACCAAGTTTGTGCTTGCTGCAACACACCAGGTTTGTGCTTGCTAGGGCTATCCACACACCAAGTTTGTGCTTGCTAGGGATATCCACACACCAAGTTTGTGCTTGCTAGGGATATCCACACACAAAGTTTGTGCTTGCTAGGGCTATCCTCAAAGCAAGTTTGTGCTTTGTACAATAATTGTTTTTTCAACTGAACATTCAGAGATGCAACATTCTATTTTTTAGAAACATGACTTTGACCTTTAACAAACCAAACCTTCAATCATTAGGGTTATTTATATTCACTAGAGAAACCAACACACCAAGTTTTAACTTTATACAGTCATTTGTTCCAAGTTCTCATCCTGACAACATATATATCCCTCATTACACTTTTTCATCTTAATTTCATTTTCATAATTGAACACTCAAATTTACACAAATTCAAGGACTGAATGCAAAATTCATGACTATTCATATTTGAATAACAACAAAACTGAACATCAAACACATGTTCAATCAATATAAGACTAACAAGAAAAATCTAACAACCAGGAACACCTGCATGTATAAATTAATAAACTATAAAATGTAAAAATTATATATATTAACAAAAGTTGTCAAAGGCCAGACATCCTATTTCTTGTGATACAAGTGTCTTTTTCTGGAATTTGATGATGGTACAAGAAAATATTGAGATAAATTGTTAAAAAAGATTACTCTATAAGATAACATGTGTAAATTTCAGTGATGGTTGACATTTGTTTCAGTAATGAAAAAAACAAAGGCATATTGTTCACGTGATTTGTGCTGAAAGCAGTCCATTTTGGCATTATAGGTACAACTGAGTTTGTCACTATATATCAACCATTTAGAGATTCTATTACTACATCACATCAAGTTCCCAATTGTGTATAACTTCAGTAGAGAATAAAATATAAACAATAATAATATAAGCATAATTGTAAAACAAGCAAGAATATGCAAATACATATTAAAAGTTGGCATAAACGATGAAAGCAACAAATTGTTTAACTGCAGGCCACAAAAATTTCCATTCGTGCTTTGTGTCTCCAGGATTTTGGCAAAAATTGATACTGACCCTGTATATTGACCCACTCCTAAATGAATCCATTCCAAACAAGGGAAAACTACACCCCTGGTAAAATCCAGTAAAATATTACGTACAATTCATTTCATGCACCACTAATACAGCATATTATTGTTTTGCGTTATATAAATACCAACGAAGATAATCTTAGATATTCAGACATAACTCTAAACAAGAGGTCCATGGGCCTTAACGGTCACCTGAGTCCTACAGTATTTATTTTTGTTGTTGAAATATGTACCAATTTTGAGTAAAAAGTATTTAAGTATAAGGTAAACTTAAGTTTGTCAGGACAATGAGCTGATCATTCCTACCAAGTTTCAGTTCAATCGGCCCAGCAGAACTTGACTTCACGTTTGAAATAGTTTTGAAATATTGGATTTCTGATCGACCCGAAAAATAACAACATTTGATCAGGGAGATGTCAGTAACCTTCCCATGAAATATTAATGAAATCCCTTTGACAGTATTTCAGCTTAAGTTGAAAATGTAAAATGTTAACAGACGACGCACGACGACGGACGAAGACAGATAGCAATAGGTCACTTGAGCTAAAGCTCAGGTGACCTAAAAAACCAACTGAAATTTTTCAGTTGGATACTGGTTTAATGTCTATTAAAACTTTACAACTTTTAGCTAAATACTTCATTTAAATTGCAAAATGATTTAGTAAATCTTTAGGAGAATCATCAGTCTCAGACAATGGTTACATATGACATCATTCCAAACGTAAAAGGCAGACATTTTACATATCATTAATTATAAATGTGGTGCAAAGAAGCAACACATATCGTGGTTTGATCTTTAGTATTTAATGTTATCTCAAAGATCAACCTATTTCATTCTTGAATTGTCTCCCTTGAATCTCTTGTTCTGTATTACTGATATATAGAAAAATTTCAGTTGGAAATGACTCGCAATGTACCAGTTAATGCTTCAATCACATATTATATGTACAGTGTACAGCTAGTGTCACATTGTACAGCACTGACGTTTGAACATAATAGGTTTTCGAGTTCCACAGATGAAGAAATACTTTTTTAGATGATACATCCATGCATGTAGTAGTAAAACGTTAAAGGGAAGTAATTCTTTTCAGGAAAAATCCTAAGCTTGAATTAATCATCAGAAGTGTTCTTAAAATTTGTGATATTTCTGTTTTCAAAAACCACCTTATACTAGCTAGTCTGTGAAAACAAAGATAAACCAGTAGAAATGTATGTATGAAAGCTATTGACTTTCACTATTTTACTTATTGATATTTACCCAGTTTTTAGATGGCGTAAATAAATACTGTACACACAAATATGTATATACATGACTACGTTCAAGCTTTATCAAATTAACCTTAAAAGGTTTCATGATTAATGTTAACATGGAAAGCAAGCACTGGTTCACTAGTTGTTACTCTTTCTTCTCCTTCTTTTCTTCGAGTTGAATGTTTTGAATCTTCAAAAATATTTTTGACTCAAAGCTTTTTCCGACTAGATATGGTGATTTTTTAGATTTCAAGTTCTCCACAGAGATCACATTTTCTACCTTACCATGCCGAGATTTGTTGCTGAACTGGTGGGATACCGTACGGCTGTGGGCAATGTACTTCATATTGTCTCGGTAGGCATAGATCACAAAGGTGATGTCGACGTCGACAATGTGCTGTGATGAGGTACAGATTCGGGAGACATTCAACACTGTTTCGTCACTCTGACGTGACATGTACATTCCATAGAGTGGGTGTGCCTGGTAGAATCCTTGAGGATAAAAGGCCACATCGAAGGACAGAGAGTCGTCATCCTTTATCTGTACAGGGAAAGGCTTTAGATGTATCGGCACTACCATACTGGCAACCAGCTGGCTTTCAGTCTTGGGTGTCTCTATGTAATTACGGAGCTTCAGGTCATCACAAATACTGTACAATTTGTGGTAGTAATTACGATAGGGCTCCTCACGTGTGTGACTCATTAAATCACTGCTGTGCAATGAATGGCCTCGGTAAGCCCTCATCAGTCGGTTTCCGAACAACTCAGTGTGTTCATTATACAAATCTGAATTCTCCATCTTGAGTAGGTCAGCTGGTGTCATCATGCTGAACCTCATATGAGGCAAAACTGCTTTTAACTTCTCTAACACAATGTCTGGATCTTCCACTGCCTTTATCCATCGCTGAACCTCCATCCACAGTTGAAACTCACTTTCCACAACCATTTCTGAGCTCTGCAGAAATTCCACCATGACTGATGGAGTTAAATCTAACCAGTCAGGAGCCTTCTGGATGATGCTGAAGTTTGACAGGATGAAGGCTAAGCACTTCTCCTGTAAGTGCTGGCCGTTCGTTATCTTGGCGTAGTGGTACCAGGTTAGAGTGCGATTAGTGTCTGGTGAGGTGACGATGTGACGCGACATGTACTCCACACAGGTTTTGTGCAGAACATGTATACCATACTTGTCAGCTAGGATCAGTAACTTGTGGACCATTGATGTTGTCAGCTCCACTGAACCACAGTAGATGTATCTATTCCAAAAAAAGGTTTCATCAACAAAAAATCCTCCTAAACATGCATACAAATCTAGTTTTTGATCAAATTTGTAAAAGAATTTAAACCAACTTAAATATTTGTTTGCCGTATCAATTTGGTTTGATAAATGATTTCAAATGTCAGTAGATAAAATTTATGTGAAAAGTAATCTCTCATCATCTTAATTTTTTTTATATTTTGAAACAATATATTGTTACTTCAGGATATTTAAGTATAGGACATTCACAAACAGCCAGTCAAAGTGGATTACGATAAGATGAAAAAGATTTTCAAAATAAGTAAAATAATTCTTCAGTTCACTTATACCCGAACAACCTACTTGATAGTGTGTGCTTACATGGCAGAATGAACTATTCCAATGATTGTTCCTTACAAATCGAAACAATGTACCTGGTAGTGTGACCTTGACCTTTGACAATCCAACCTAATGTAGGTTATCATAAAGGTTATTGATTAACAAGTTGTTAAGTCATCCAGCAAAACTACAAGGTCCTAGCTAGAAAAACGCACTACATGTACTACATATTAGACTGGAAACAATTATTTTTGCATGAGGCAAGATGTTTTGACCTCAAAAAAGAAAGGAATGCTATTCAACCATAGAAAGTCTTTCTCAAGTTTTAACTCATTCACCTCTGAAATTTCAAAATGAACTATTCCAACCTTTGATTTGGAAGAGTTCAAAGTTGTCTTCAGGGATGAATGAGTTAAAGGTCCTATATGAGAAGATGTTTTACTTACCGATAGTCCGCCTGTACAGTCTAGAAATATTTTGTTACAACTGGTAACTATAACCTTTTGACCTTGCTATTTATAGGGTGCTTGTAGGACACATGAATGTTCTCCATGTGTAGTTTCATGCACTTTGGTAGATAAAAAGACTTTGCTTTATTTTTCATTTTATTTTTCAATTCGAAAATAAATGTGACTCCAGCCTTCCACATATTTGCCTCAAAATCACTGAGATTTTTTCTTACACCAAGGATAATTTCCTGGTATGATATTATTCTGTGAATTTTCAATCATCTTACAATCCTTATATTTTTGGTTAACAGAATTCATATTCTAGAATAACCTTGACCGCTAGGCCTGATGGAAAGACAAAACTGGTGTCTACATCTCACCTACAACTTCAACTTTAACTGGTGTCTACATCTCACCAACGACTTCAACTTTAACTGGTGTCTACATCTCACTAACGACTTCAACTTTTACTGGTGTCTACATCTCACCAACTACTTCAACTTTAGGAAGTTTGGCAAGGAAGAAGTTAGAAATAGTGAAATTATTGACTACAAGACAGCAGACAATTGGATTAAAAGATTTGTTGTTGATTAAGCTTGAAATTTGATCGAATTACCCAAAAAGTAAAGGTGTTTACACTTCCCAAACGTTACAACTTTGTGTAGTTTAGTGAAGACGAGATATGAAATTATGACAGTATGAAGTTGAAACAAAAACTGCTTATTGACAGACAGAGGGATGGATGGACATGTAGACCTAATTAACTTAACCATAAGGTCAACTACCAGTCTATCAGTCCAACGTCTGCATACATGTATATACCCAGAAACCTGGAACCTGTACTAGTATATGGTAGATATTGTATACTTACTTGAGAAAGTCTGGGAACACAGACACACAATCTTCATCCTCTGTAAGACACACTTCATTTTGGCTGGATTCCTGCCATCTTGCTTCGCTCAGCATAGCTCTACAATTCAACAGTTTAGCAGGATATAAAATTAACAAGGTATCCAATAAAATAAAAACAAATCAACAAACAGGTTCAAATCAAGTAGCTAACAGCAGACCTGAGCTAACCAACAATGGACAGCAACACATGGTGTTTTTGACTGGGACAGTGAGAACAAATCTGATTTTAACAAGTTTGACATTAGTTTAAAAAATTATGAATGCTCAAATATTTTCAACATAACATGAAAAGCATGAATGATACAAACAGTAACTACAACCATGGAAGAATATTAAATACTAAATTTTAATCTTACATAAAAATAGCATCATGATTTCTCTATGTATTTGACCTTGGGACCTCTTTGAAATACCCTGTTTCTGATATCTCAGGTTTTTAATGCACCATATGTAGCTAGGTTTCACTGTATATTGTTCAACATCAAGAGATGAAAACTTACTCGAAAACTTCACTTGCTGTGACAAGCAGAATTTTGTGAGCATAGAACCTGGTGTCCCCAACTACGAGTACAATGTCACTGAAGATCTCCGAGTTGTAGAGTGTACGAAAACGGTGAATGAAATCATCTTTGTCCTCTATCAGATCTAGTGTTTTATCCTTTTTGACTGGTGATTCTACTTCTCCTTTCACAGCAGCTAGCTTTTTAGAATCTGTCATTTTCCTGGGCTCGCAGTCAAGGAGAAAATCAATGGTCAGCTCCAATCAGGAACCACATGTCTGGTGTTTATCTATGAAATGTTAAAGAAAATTATTCAAGTGAATTAATTATATATATAATACCATCATGAGATTGTGCAATATTTTAATATTCATGATTACGGAATCTGTTTCTTAAGTGCTTCCTTATAAAAATTGTACATACAATGTAGTTGAACGGAGCTGTTCTTGAAGTCATGCATTTTTATCTGATCAAACATTTTTGATACATCATTTTAAAACCAAACTTCTACAAAAACAAGCCAACAAAGCACTTATAACATACCAAGTATATTTGATTTAAGAAATGTTTAAACTAAATTAACTGTATTTTTATAAATTGAAATTCACAAACTACTGTAATGATTGGTTTGAATTAAATCTGACCCATTTTAATTGTACTCTATTTTCATATCTGAATATGTTATAAAGTTACCAGGGGTAGTTTGTAGACGAATACTAGTCTTTTCTTTTCAATATTTTAATGAAGCAGATAAAAAATAAATAAATTATGTAAACTTTTTCCCAGTAGATCTTTATATTATTGGCATGTAACTTCGGACCATAGCAGTAAGTACCTCCAAATTGTACAATATACATGTATATAGATGGGCCATAGGTACTAGCCTTGACAGACAAGGCTAGTATCTGTGAATGGGCAATGAAACTTGGCAAGTAGTAGCATTATTTAATGAGGATGATGGGACTGACTGAATTGCGACTGCAGATCTAAAGTAAAGAAAGTGATTGCAAACTGATCACTCTCCAAGTAAATTTAAAGACAAACCATGTTGGTTAATATTGTGAAGCACAATTTTTTCTCGTGTTAATTTTGCTCTTATCTGTTTATTCATCAATTACTGATAATTGATCAATCAACGATATATATAATTAAAAAATAATGACTAAACTATCTGAAGTGTGGCAGGTTTTAATTTACACAGGAATACTTTCGCCTTCTAGCTTTGCACTAGAGGGAATTTCCCTTTAGCTCAATCATGCACAGTGGAGGACTGGGAAGCCAGCGGTTGCAAGTTTAACACAGCAAGACACTTTTGACAAGCGTCATGTGAGGTTGCAGTCGACATAACTATATCCGCTAAAATTATAGCTGACCAGCGACTTCTAATGTTGATGGAGTATAGGTTGCTAGTTTGATCTCTATCGGAAGCACACACACTATTATTTTGGGGGTACAGACGTTTCCGTACTCGGATGTTACGGTACAAAGATGTTTTCGTCTTTACAATAAGTACCGAAACAATTTAACAATTTTGTCAATTATTGAACAAGAGTAGGCACTTGGCGAATTTGTAATGAAAAGATTATCCAAAGCAAGGCCCCTTTTGAGTGTCCTGTTGTTTAACAGGTTTGTCTGTTTTTATAGGTAACATTTTCAGGTATAAATTCTGGCGGACCTACATATGTTTAGCAGGCCTTGTAAGTCTTTGTCAAGGTTCGGCTGAAAGTAGCTTCCGATTACTAGGTCCTTATTTCATAAACATCAAGATATTTGGTTTTTAGCAGACTACTTTAACAGACTATGGATCATCAAGATAATTGGTTTTAGCCGACTACTGTAACAGACAACGGATCATCAAGATGGTTTAAGATGACTTCTGTAACAGACTACGGATCATCAAGATATTTGGTTTTAGCCGACTTGTTAACAGACGACGCACGACGACGGACGAAGACAGATAGCAATGACTTCTGTAACAGACAAAAGATCTTTTTTTTTTTTTTTTTGGTTTTAGCCGACTTCTGTAACAGACTACTGATCATCAAGATATTTGGTTTTAGCCAACTACTGTAACAGACTACGGATCATCAAGATATTTGGTTTTAACCGACTTCTGTACAGACTACGGATCATCAAGATTTTTGGTTTTAACCGGCTTCTGTACAGACTACGGATCATCAAGATTTTTTGGTTTCAGCCGACTACTGTACAGACTATATAGCTACGGATCATCAAGATTTTTGGTTTCAGCCGACTACTGTAACAGACAACGGATCATCAAGATTTTTGGTTTAAGCCGACTACTACTCCACTGGTCGGCCATTTTTCTATCGGATATGAATTTGCCGATGTTACACGGCGCCTGTCAAAAGTATCTCGCCGTGTAAACTTCTAACACTGTTGGAGTACCTAGTTACCCTTGTCTCCGGTCCTCAGAGTATCATCATGCAATATTTTCGTACCCGCTAGCAGCCGAATGTAAATGACAATGATTGCATCGGAATATTTCACCTCATGAGGACAGTTTTCGTGACACTGCAGCGATGCGATACAGTTTTGTATGAACTTCAGCCATTGTTTACCTGTAAATAATTAGCATTTGTATAACTCCATTACACTTCCGGTCCAATGGGCGCGTTCTGTAACGTATACATTACGAGCTCGGGGTGCGTTCTATAAGGATAAAAACTGTAGCACAATTTGTCCAACAGTTCAACACTTCTTTTGACCTGATAGCTCGGACGGTTAGAGCAATGGTATAGCTATCTGAGGAATATCAGTGTAGCCCCTCAACAAAACACTGCTGGTGATCCTATATATTGCTTATCCCATCCTTATCATTCTTTTCGTCAAAAAAGATAAAAGGAAACTATACTTTTATCTAAATGATATATCAAAGCTATATTCATGTCACAATGAAATTAGAGTTCCAAGTGCGTAATTACAATTTTACTTTGTCAATAAAATTTCTAGAGATATGCTTCCACATCAAAAACAATTTCTAAAGACTTGTCTTCCATATCAAATAATTATAAGGATAATTATAGAATCTTCAAAATTCTGCGTCAGAAGAGAGCAAGCCTGGACATACTAGTCTAATATGCATAAGCACACCTCCAGGCCCACCATTAGCTACAACACAGACACACACGTCAAGATCACCAACAGATGCAACGCAGACACAAACATCAAGCTCACCAACAGCTACAACACAGACACACACATCAAGCTCACCAACAGCTACAACACAGACACACACATCAAGCTCACCAACAGCTACAACACAGACACACACATCAAGCTCACCAACAGCTACAACACAGACACACACATCAAGCTCACCAACAGCTACAACACAGACACACACATCAAGCTCACCAACAGCTACAACACAGACACACACATCAAGCTCACCAACAGCTACAACACAGACACACACATCAAGCTCACCAACAGCTACAACACAGACACACACATCAAGAAGGAAAATCAACATCGACAAAGCTTCAAGAGACTCTATTAAGAAAAAGGTAAACTTTGGCATAAATACCTCCAATTAAAACTCCAGAAAACTTCAGAAAATATAAGACTGAGAGAAATAGAAGCTTCCATCTAACCGGAAGATCAAAATACACGTTTGAAAAGGATTTGATAAACAACATGAAAACAAACCCAAAACCCTTCTGGAAGTATGTTCGAGTTAAAACAAAAACAGCCACGACCATCACCAGAGTCAAAAATGATAAAGGAGAAATGACCACCTCGAAATTAGAGACGTCCAACGTCATGATTGTTTTCCTTGCTAGTGTTTTTGTTGACGACATCAAAGTAATTCTGCCTGAGTTTGAGGAAAGACTATTTAAAAGCACGCTAACCGACTTACCAGTAACAGAAAAACTTGTGTTAGCAGTAACTAAGAAATTTCCTAGCCCGGATAACACACATCCACATTCAATTTCAAAAACAATATAGAATCACTAATAGAACCTCTAACCATCATCTATAACTGACAGGTCCATCCAAGAAGGAACCCTGCCACATTCGTGGAAACTGGCTCACGTCTCACCAATATTTCAGAAATGCTCTAAAGGCTACTCAGGAAACAACAGACCTATCAGTTTGTCGTCGGTTTCCTGTAAGATTCTACAACGAATAGCCCGAGACGATATCTTAAAACACATTGACGAGAACCATCTTTTCACCCCACCAACACGGGTTCAGAAGTGGCCGCTCCTGTACCACTAATGAACTACTAGAGATTATCGAAGACTGGACACATGCAGTTAGATGACGGAAACAATGTGGACCTCATATACATTGACTTCAGCAAAGCTTTTGACAAAATGTCACACCGCTTGCCGCTATACAAACTACATGCACATAAATATGGAATCAGAGGTAAAATTCTGGCATGGATTAAGGAGTTTTCAAAAGATGTGACTTAACCAGTCACAATCAACAGAGCAAAATCCTTGAGTCTCCCTGTCACAAGTGGAGATCCCCAGGGCGTCCCTGGCCCCATACTATTCTTGATCTACGTCAATGACATGCCTGATTTTATCAGCTGTATAACCAAACTATTTGCGGACGATACCAAACTCTATTCAAAAACACGTACAGAATTAGAAAGACAGCAACTCCAGACAAACATCAACAAAATAAATAGAATTAAGGATACATATATATATATATTAGACCATAAATATAATACACAAGTATTAACAACAAATTGTAGTGTAACAGCTTAACACAATGTAAATAGTTTTAATTCCTGCGCAACCGGAGTCCGTTGCTGCAGGATATTCTGCTGGCAACGTATACGTATCAAGTGAGAAGAGGACATTCAGACGTCTCTACAAGCTTAAAAAAGCTTTCCATCGACGTTCGACTATTAACAAAGACTCCATGGAATATGGAGATAGAAACTCGTTGCAGCAGGCTCAACAAAATATGTCCCATCGAAAATGGCACCACGTACATTCCGAAGAAAGTACGGTCATGCTCACGAGGCCATACTTACGTTAAAGACACGATTAAGAAACCAAGGAAACATGCAAAGAAACGAGACTCCAGTGACACAAATGCTGAGCGCACAGTTTATGACAATTATAGATTCACAAACTATCTAACCCAACGATAAGCTGTATTAGGTAGGACGTTCAACAGAGACACATCGCATCCTCCATGTCGAAGATCTATGGATTAGTCTCCATAAAGATGAAACGATATATTTATTCTGTATACCTGGGATAGCCTCTACAGTATCACAGGAAATCAGCTTCAGTCCACAGTACACGTGCATTTGAAGTTTCACCTGATAAATTTCTCAGGGATCAACCCTCCAATACTGGGTCGCGGGTGTGAATCTTGCGTAGGGCAGTCGTTAAGTACTTTCCCCAGGGGATGGTTGTTCCTCCGGGTACTCCAGTTTTACTTCACCACCAAAACCTGACTTTTCCTTAACTGATCATAGCTGTTAGTAGAGAATAAAGACCAAACAGACCGAACCACGTGACTGTGACCCTTTCGCGACAAATATCTTCTTATCGCGGATGCCAAAGTCTGTCATGAGAGTGTGTTTCTTCTATGAAATCCAGGTGACTTGTTGATTTTAGTCTGGGGTTTTTGATCTGATGATACGTCCGGTATTTTATCGTCGGCAAACAAGTGGAATGTGGATAGAACTCATTTTGATAGGTAATTGATGTACAGGAGGAACGCTTATGGACCAGGTACCAGCTATCGTAGACGGTCAGACACCTTTAAATTATTCGGCCACCGCGATCCCCACAATCATATGAAAACTTAACATGAAACAAACCGCTAAGAAAGTCAATATGATTTTGTATTCATGAAAGGAAACCTTTCTCAGTTGTCCACAACAGAACTATTAATCATCGCATGATAAATCTAGAGTGATAATTGGCTGTTTACAGAAATACTATTTTGCATAATCATTGCTACGTAAGATGAGCTTGGCTTCTTTAGGAGCAGGGTAAACTTTACTCCAACAATGTTAGAGGTTTTACACGGCGAAAAACTTTTGACAGGCGCCGCGTAACCTCTAACTGCCCAAAGCTGATTTTCCCGATGCTGACTATCACATTTTCAAAGTTCGGATTAAGAATGAGTATATCGTGTTTACATACATTTAAATGGTCAAAAGGGTCCAATAAATATTCCTTTCCATAAATCCATGAATATATGAGAAAAATTTCATGTCAAAGACATAAATAATGAGTTTTTCCTCATTCGAAGCGAAGCAGACAGCATTTGCCATGATTTTTCCGGTTAATACAAAAATGGATTACATGTAATGTTTCACAAGCGGAATACAAACAAACTCCGTATCATTTCGGTCCGTTTGAAATCCCCCCTGATATTTTGTATTAATCCAGAAGCCATGTTTTAAATGTAGGTCAGAGATGTGCTACAACGACATGGACATGTATTTTGAGTGTTCTATTCCGTAATATACTAATAATTGTGTCTGTGACATATATATGAGATCTATATTATATAAACCGTGAGTAGACACCGTTGTCATGAACTGTTAACCCCTTATGTGAGTTTTTCAAGCCGATTTTGTTCCGCCCGGATTTCGAGCGGAATCTGCATCAAAGAATTAGTGCTTCGGAAATGAGAGGTCGCAGTCGGCAAAAGCATATCCGATTGAAAAAAGGCCGACCAGCGGCCTCTCATGTTATGGGAGTAGGTAAACTTTAGGTTATTTAGTATCTAGGCGTATGTTTTACTCCTAGGATAGTATTCTGATATCACAGTTTAATAACGTCATATAAAGTCTGAAAACAACTTCATCATCATGTTTGGCACTTTTTTTTTGTAAAGTATAGAAAAAGAACACGTTTTGATAAGATCAAATCAAAATTGAAACATGCATTTGTATTGTCCTATTTGTGCTCTGTTTAATTCAATTAATGTTGTCAATAAACATTAAATAAACAGTAAATAAACAGTAAATGAACAGTAAAGCTCTCTCCTTCGGCAACAGTTCTAGTATCTAACATTGCTTCAAACAGCGCACTGTATGTACCTTCGTCTGAAGGTCCGGGTACTAGTCATAGGCAATACTCTGCTAGACAAGTTCTCTCAGGAGAAGGTATAACATATGACTTGCCGCGTACTTCTCAACAATATATGATCCACAAAGTGATATGATGTTCTACAAAGTTGACATCCATTTTGTCTGCATGCCGTCACATATTGTTCGTTGACAGATCCTCCTCCAAATATGCCTCCATCCAGCATCACATAAACCTAAAAGATATCAGTACAAGTACTCAAAAACATCAAACGGATCCAATAGCCGGACTTTGAACAATTTGTACAACGCTTCCTTGGATGCTTTCAATTCTTGGCTTCATAAAACAGACGCTCCAATCGACTTAAACCTGATGGTTTCCGGAGTTCGACCCAGCTTATCCAAACCTTCCTCTCTTCATATCGGACTATATTTTACTTTCTGTGAGTTAATTGTTCAATTAGGCGACAGGTGTATCGGAAATGATATGTATGCACCGGCCAGATCATATAAAATTCGAATAATAGTAAGTGAAATCCGAGCCGTAACCGCTCTAATTAATTGACGTACCTCTATGATCGATGGTCTGCAGTACATTTAGTTTTTACCTGATTCAAAACAGGATATATTTTTTTTATAACAGTTAAATTTCAGATGCAGAAAGAAAAATGAACTTTGTCTCAACCTGCAGGTAAAAGAAGTGTGATACTGGAACAGAACTGATTGGAGATTGGTGCAATAAATGAAGATTATTGGGGGCACCCGTAAAGAGTGACTACCAGTGATTACACTGAGTACGACGGAGTGAACAAGATCACTTAGTGTGTATGAAGTGAAGGGTACCAAACCGGCAATTCACCAGATAGCGGTAGCCATTGGTTACACAAGGGACAAAAAAGCATTGTCTGGAAAGTAGATTGGAAACTTTTAAAGACTTGGCTATGATAATCTTGAGCCGACATCACCGTAACAGGAAAGTAAACTTATCAATGAAAGAACGCGCGGAACAGAAAAAAATACAACCGTTCCCTACTTTTGTGATTAAATAGAGCAATATTCTCAACCCAACATTTAAGATTCTGGAATGTCTAACAAGAGGCTGTACTTCACTTAGGAGTGAGATTTTCTGTTTCGCCTTTGAGGAATGACTACATATTTCCACTCCTAAAAAGGAATTCATCGATGAAAAGGATTGTTTTGTTTGCGAACTTTCGCGGCATAATATGACGTTTTCTTATCTTACAACGTGACGTCATTAGATTGTTTTTATTGTGTCGTCACATGTTCGTGTCATGTGTTCACCCTAGGGGTTAACAGATCAACTGCTCACGAACAAACATGAGACACATCAATGTAGAAACATAAAAATAATTTATGTCGATTAACTCCAAAATCATGTCCGTTAAAGATCAATTATGTCGTTCTTTCAAGCCAGTCTGTATATTGGTAAATATTTTGTTACATTGCATTTGTTCTTGACAATCCTGATATAATCTCGCTAACTGCACAAGTAAACTCAACTCAAAACTCACAAGGAACTGTATATATAAGTTTAATTCTTACTATGTAGTACATCTGGGCCCGTATTCATGAAACCGTTCTTATGCTCAAGCATTGATTCTGTGCTAAAACCAACTATTGTGTAGCTCGCTTAAATCATGTCAAACGATCAAAAAGGTCAAATGGAAACATTGAAAACAGTATTTGGCTTTATGTCTCTTCAAAATGTTTCCAAATTATTGACAAAATAAGATTTATTTATTAAGTTATAACAAGAACAAGAAATTATGCTTGAGCACAAAACCCATGCTTGAGCATAATAACGGTTTTATGAATACGGACACAGGTTTCTGCTTACAAAATGATAATGCTTTGTCAAATCAGGTACTGAAGCATACATATATATCGACAACAGTACAAAAACTTATCTTATCGAGTTTTTCAAAAATCTTATATTAGATTTTTTTTTTTAATTCAAACAAGTTTGGAGATATTTTGATAATAAATATGTCATACAAATAATTGTATTAAGGGAATAAGTTTGCTGACGTATATATAGCGGTAAAAGGTCGATAACACTTAATTTCTGACCATTAAACCAATCACTCAGGAGGTTCAGTATCCTCAATACTCCAGGTTTACACTCACTCACACTCTCTGTGAAGTGAGAGTAACCTCTGGAGTATCGAGGATGGAAGTTCAGTATCCTCAATACTCCAGGTTTACACTCACTCACACTCTCTGTGAAGTGAGCGTAACCTCTGGAGTATCGAGGATGGAAGTTCAATAATTCTGTTATACCAAATGATTCTATTTGTTCGATAAATGACATATCATGTTCAATTTTCAAGCATAATGTATTCTAAATATATACATAAATATGATCCTTTTGAATGTAATGGCATGTATATTTTGTTTTCAGTTTATATAATTATCTATATATTTCCACATCAAATTTTACATCAATTTGTTATCAATCTTATTAAGCAATATACAACCAATTGCTGATCTTAACAGTTAACTTCTGTTAATCTCGTCGATACGAAATCACCTGTGTTGTTAATATTGTTAATTTGCGCTATCAGCATCAAGACACGGCACACTTCCCACGTTCACTGTTTAAATGTTATGATTAAGCAATACTGATAATACTTGTTCATTCAATTTGTTCCGTGTTTGTCCTTAACCATTCCTCCACGAACTCATAATGCTGGTTTTCCCATTCCATGTTGACCATGATTCTGTCAGTTGCCCTATCAAACCCGGTCAGTTCTACCTCTTGTGGGTGGATGTTGTTTTTCAGGTGGAGCATCTGTAAATATAATACTACATTTTCACATCTACAAGTTTTTACGATTTTATTGACTGACTGAATTTTTTATTTCACCGTAAATATATTTTAGAATAAATACAAGGCATGTATCCTTTAGATAGTATATTTACGAACCAATTCCTTAATACCTTAAACGTGTGTCTTAACAAGGTACCAATTCCTTAATACCTTAAACGTGTGTCTTAACAAGGTACCAATTCATTAATACCTTAAACGTGTGTCTTAACAATGTACCAATTCATTAATCCTTTGACCTTTGCATGCTTTTTTATGATGTTGTATTTTTTGTTTTATCACGTTCATATATATTTATTTACGCTGATCATCATATAATTATTTAATGAGTTACAGATAATATACCGGAGCAATAAACCACGCGACACACTATGTAAAATATTTAGATAAAATGTCCGAATAACATACAAATTAAGAAGTATTTTAAAGGATTCACAAATTTCTAAAGTAAAACAAGCAAATTCGTGGAATTTATATCCCCCGCTTGCAGGACATATTGTAGGTAAACATTATTGAGGTTAGGTTTAAACCTGTGAGTATCGTGCTGTTAAAACATAATGTATAGCTTAAAAATCGAAGAAAAAAAAGAGCCTTATACCTCATTAATTATCTGTAAAAACTTAGCATGAGTCGGATGTGCATACAGAATTTGGTTGAAATATCTGCACAATATATACGACAATTATCACACGAAAACCAAAGAGTATCCGAGATGGGTGGAAAGACAGAGGAACACAAACATTGTTATCAAGTTTGAAGGAATTTGGCTAATATTTGCTAGAGTTATTAAGCGGAAACTGCAAATAATGACATTTTTCGTTACTCAAGGGGCCATAACTCCGCCAAATAAAGTCCGCTGAAAGTGGTCATCGAACTTGGCCGAGCCCTTGAGTAATTTTACCCTGTTACCAAGTTTGAAGAAAATCGGTTAGCATTTGTTGCAGTTATTGCACGGAAACGAAGCGTGACAGACAGACAGACAGACAAACGGAAAAACCCAAATTAACATCCCCCGTTTCGGTGAGAGCGGGGGATAATATTTAATATCCAAAATTAAGGAAGTCTGGGACTTAATTTCCAACACGGTCGTTACATATTTAAAGATTTGCGATTTTCTATAAATGTACATACCTGACTGAGCTCGAAGTCTGTATACATGCGTTGTGCTACTTGTAATAGGATGGTATTCAAATGACTGCCATTAACGTCATAACTAAAGAAAGAAAACGACGACATTGAAAGCCTTACCCGTTGTATTTTCACAAGAAATTACTATAATAATATGAAAGCCTTATATCTCTTTTCGAAAAAGTTAATATCACTTCAATTCTAAGCTACGTTAAAATTATGTCATTATCTAAAACCACATTTAATTTTCAAGTTGACATTTGTCTTTTGCTGTTTTCGTTTATTTGATGTCATTTCCTTTGACATGTTTTATCAACATTTTGGCCCCAGTGTATTGTATAATTCTAATGACATATTTTCTTTGACCAATGAAAAATGCCGTTACTTACTCCAGCACCATACGTCTCCAGTTGATCATCAGGAACTTCCAGCCCATGTAGAACGTTACTGGATTACGTATAACGGAGAGTATTGCATTGCGGACGTCTTGTTTCCGGATTTTATTGGACTGAAGCGTAAATTCCAAGTATCTGGAAAAAAACCAGAATTGTATATCACCACCAGAATGTTCCATCATATTAACCAAGTTTATTTACCCGACAAAACAAGTGCACGGGCACAATGGGCTATATACAAAAAGACATTCTGAAGCATTCTATGCAAGACGTTACGGGACGAAACATCATTTGGCAAAAATAAAACGAACTAGATGATAATGACGGAGATAATTGAGGCATTTTGCGACTGTTAATTTGTGAAATTCATCTATTTAATGTGATTCCCTAGAGAAACCTCATTAAGGTGTACCTGCTGATGATCCACGGGCGAGAGGAGCAGCCCATGGCAGCCAGAGCTAAGGAGGATTCTGACACTGGGCCGTCGTGGTACCGACTGTAAACATACTCCCACTCAATCTCGCCCCCTTCTCGGACTGCCGTACACATCACAGTTCCCTTGATGTCCGGAGGAATTCTGTTATTGCAATAGAAAAAGTTACCACTGAATGTGCTATTTTCTTTTCTTTGGTATCAATCCAAGTTGAAAAGCGTTTGTGATATTACCAAAACAATAACTTTACAAATTATGTATACCAGAGAATCGTCTGACCAAGATAATTTTGAGACAATATGTAAAGACTACATCGTTTATTCCATTTCAGGTTTAACCAATTTAATTTGTATGATTATATCAAGCTATTTTGACAAAACACACACACTTTCTCTATCAAAATATATGATAAAGTTCTTACAGTGCTCCGGTATCCATCCACGCTTTAAACATGTCCACTGATCGTTGTATACATTCGGCCACGTGGTGTTTACAGGCCAACCTGTATATCAGACTGCTGAGCGATCTGAAAAATGTCATTTCAAAAATCAAAGTATGTTACTGGTCATAAACTTTATTTATGAAATGCTGGTTTTTAAAAACAATCCATTAGAGCCGAAATATATTTATTTGTAACGTTTTAAAGGGATTGATATAAATCTTTCCTTCGCGCCTTTGATGTACTTCTTCGTATGTTTCTGAACACTTTAGACATGAAATTGTCATTGCTTTGTTCTTAGATACCACTTACAAGTCCTAAATGAGCGACATGGCCATATGTGCTAAATGAGTGACATGGCCATATATTTTGATCTTAGATACCACTTACAAGTCCTAAATGAGTGACATGGCCATATGTGCTAAATGAGTTACATGGCCATATGTTTTGATCCTAGATACCACTTATAAGTCCTAAGTGAGTGACATGGCCATCGTTTTAATCTTAGATACCACTTATAAGTCCTAAATGAATGACATGGCCATATGTTTCGATCTTAGATACCACTTACAAGTGCTAAATGAGTGACATGGCCATATATTTTGATCTTAGATACCACTTATAAGTCCTAAATGAGTGACATGGCCATATGTTTTGATCTTAGATACCACTTACAAGTGCTAAATGAGTGACATGGCCACATGTTTTGATCTTAGATACCACTTACAAGTCCTAAATGAGTGACATGGCCATCGTTTTAATCTTAGATACCACTTACAAGTGCTAGATGAGTGACATGGCCATATGTTTCAGTAAATGTTACTTTGATCTTAGATACCACTTACAAGTCCTTAATGAGTGACATGACCATCGTTTTGATCTTAGATACCACTTACAAGTGCTAAATCAGTGACATGGCCCTATGTTTCAGTAAATGTTACTTTGATCTTAGATACCACTTACAAGTCCTAAATGAGTGACATGGCCATCGTTTTGATCTTAGATACCACTTACAAGTGCTAAATCAGTGACATGGCCATATGTTTCAGTAAATGTTACTTTGATCTTAGATACCACTTACAAGTCCTAAATGAGTGACATGGCCATCGTTTTGATCTTAGATACAACTTACAAGTGCTAAATCAGTGACATGGCCATATGTTTCAATAAATGTTACTCTGTTTGGCTTTCTACATCACCTTACTTCGTATTTCTACTCATTTTTCTATATGTCTTGCTTAATAAGATGGCGAACATAACAAATCATGTGATAGTCCAGTACTCACAAATTAGCCTACCTTTGTGTAACTTGGTGTGGTTGTATTTAAGAACATGATGACCTATTGTAACCTACCTTTTTGTAACATGGTGTAAGTTGTATCTAAGAACATGATTACCTATTGTAGCCTACCTTTGTGTGACGTGGTGTAAGTTGTATTTGAGGACAGGATTACCTATTGTAGCCTACCTTTGTGTAACGCGGTGTAAGTTGTATTTGAGGACAGGATTACCTATTGTAGCCTACCTTTGTTGGACTGGTCTGTCATCATTGAGAGAGACGTTGAGAGATCGGCCGTCAATTTGTTGAATCATAAAACGCTTTGTTTGGAATAACAACTAAATTATTATATTCAGTTATACCGTCGTCATTCAACAATGTTCAATAAAGCACGTTTTTCATATGATATACAGTTTAAACAATAAGTGGGATCAGCTGTAAAGTCGTTATATCATATGTATTATAATTGTAATTGTGATGCTTAGCAACACACTCCTGGACAGGGCATACCTCATTACATGGTCATTTATATTTTATTACTTTAATGTATCAACATATGGAGAATTAAACAGGGAGAGATGTTGTGATAGCGGATATATATTACAATACAAATGAGTACGATTTCTAAACATAATCTTCCACGTTTCCATACCTCGAAATTCCCATACGCTGCGCGCCCAGTCAACATCAGGTCGACGTACTCGAGTTCGCGGACTGCAACACTCCACGGAATGTATTCAGTCTCGTTAGCTAGGTAAATCAACATGTCCCAGGCTACCTCCATAGAACTTAGGTTTGCTCTGTAATGATAAAAAGAAGACCGCATCTCTCAGTTAAAAGTTCAACTAGTTGACAGATGTATCAAGTTGAAAAATGTATAATTTCATACAATAAAACATTAAATGTCTAATTTTAAGTTGGTTTTGTTTAAAATTTGGTATTTTTTAATTCTATTTTATATCGTTAGGAAATAATTACAATTTGAGAACGAATACATAATATACAATGGTTTGTTATGGTAGAACATTAAACATTATATAAATAGTAAATATCTGTCAATGCCTGTTACTTACTTTGCTAGAGCCCACGCATCACTGATTAACGCGCCTCTATTGACCACGTGGATTTTCTATCAAATATACAGGAAACAAATGTTAATAAATAAGATTATGTTTATTTGATAACTTGCGTGTTTAAGATTTCGTTATAAACAGTCAGCCACCTTGTTAGTACAAACATATCTGATATACCAGTGAATTATCGTGACTGCTTTGTTTTGCATCGGAATCTACTAAGGTGTATTATATGTTCTGCAACAAACATGTGTATAATGATCGGAAGAAAATCATACTTTGGGAGAAAAGATTGGTAAGTTCAAAGAAACCAAGATAGCACTGACGCAGAATCATCCCCGACACTCCAGAGGTTACGCTTATGTCGACGAAATCGATGGCTCAGTGCGCGTCACCGTGGATGCATACAAAGAGACTAGTCTGATTCTTTTGTCTACATAAAAATCGAGCGGCAGTATAACGGTAAAATCGACTGGCTTTGAAGTCGTGTTTCGCTCCAATGTAATCTTCAAAAGACAGGTATCATCTTAGCGATTGGTCATTTATGTTTTACCTGAGACCAAGCAAATATAGTGTAGCTAACTTGGTGCCTTTAATTTTGCCACGACATATTCCAGGGATGCAGAGAGCGTAAATGAGCGTAATCCCTGGAGTATCGAGGATTACAAAGAATAGAAAGTCAGGATAAATATTCAACAGTTATTACGAATACGAATTTCAGTGCTAATTACATATATATACATGTAGGCAAAGAAGTAATAACGACAGTGCAGACAAAGAAACTTGATCAATTTTCAGGGCGGCCCCTTTATCAAGACAGGAAGATAAACATGTATGTATATCACAACATGTTACAGTCACCATAAAACAATAATACAATAAAAATACATAAACAAACAGCAGTTACTAATATGAGATATGCTGTTGTAATTGCATATCTCCTTGGTTAGCGTGTAACCGTTGGCAAATTATTGTAAAAAAATCATCGTATTCAAGATATTGCACACATTATGATCGTGCTAATTAGTAACCATAATTACTTCGTGGTCATCTATAAGTTGTTGAATTAACGCCTCCCAGTTGGCCTGGTCGTAGTGAACCCGATAATACCCATACTGTTGTATGTTCCCGATAATCCACCCATCCGTAGGTGTGATAGATACATCAATTATGTTAGTTTCTAAACAAAGAATGAAAACATATTAAATACATACACATGAGCTGGCACAAAGTTAACTGCGTATCATCAGGAAATGCAGTATAACTAAACTTTTTCGAGTTGCATATTTTTTCCATGCTACAAAGGACTCATTCCAAAGGATCTGAGTCCGCAAATTGAATCAAACCCATTGATATGTCCTAATAAATATTCGAAATAACACAGTGCATTTTTGTTTTACATTAATGCAAGGTTTCGGTGCAGAATTACCATCGTATGCATGCTTTAAAAAGACACTGCGTTTTAACTGTTGTACAACATGATTTTGGTTACCCTTGTCGTTAACTCTGATCCAGTCGATATCACCAGAAGTTTTGTTAAAGTTCATCTCTTGGTGTGTAGTATAGGTGAAAGGTATCTCCCAGCTGTAGCTATAATAACAATATACATGTAACACGAGTTATTTTGTCCCATTCCTCGAAACAATACATACACAGTATTTTATATTTGATTCAGATTGATACACCTACATGTCCAGTTATTGATCTTTTAACGTTCGTGTCTTGTTATTTAAGAAATAATCAACGTATATGCAAGCATTATGGAGAAGAGTGAGAACGTGTTGAACAGAGTAATTAACGAAGGCAGCTTGCGGCCTTAAATGATTATGTTTCCAACATTTTAGTATACAAACATAGACAGACAGACAGACAGACATTCTTCATTACCCAGTAGGCAGTTGTCCTATTTTGTCTATATGACCTGGATATATTTGGGATGGATTTTTTCATTTTCAATCGCCATTTGGTCAGCAAACGATAAACAATAAAACGGACGTCACACTTTATACCAGATGTTCATTTCAATAAATCAAATCGACCAATCTATCGACACTGTTCATCAAAAGCATTTGACATTTTTATGTCATCTTGGCGGTACGTTCAGCGGTACGTTCAGCGGTACATTCTGACCGTGAACTTGACAGGAGTTAAGTAGGTCTAGAGATTAATTTCTTTTTTTCATTTGTCCCCTAGCAAATCTACAAACACATACAAAATGAATGTGTGTACTCGTTCGACAAAGGAGACCAGTCACATGGCTCGTATGTTTATTTTTGCAGAGGAGGTTTTTGAAAGAGCGTTGGTCTGTTGGGAAATAATACTTACACGCGCATGGTTTGACTTTCAATATACATTGTTATCAACCGAAGAAAAACGGCGTTACATCGCAAACGTGGTAGAATAATATGTATACCTTCATGTCCTAGTATCTATAGATGTTTTGTTATTTATCTGTAAACCCTCATGCCTTGTTATTTATGTATGTTCTTTATCCATAAAAGTTTTATTTAAACCTTCGTTTCCTTATATTAATTATACTGAGTGATTTCAATTAGCACAATCATATAAATATGTTAATATAAGTATATAGATTTATTGAGTTCTAATGCAAATACCATGTCTACGCACTGATTGATATCTTCTAATGCAAATTACATGTCTACGCTCTGATTGATATCTTCTAATGCAAAGTCCATGTCTACGCCCTGATTGATATCTTCTAATGCAAGTACCATGTCTACGCACTGATTGAGATCTTCTAATGCAAATACCATGTCTACGCAGTGATTGATATCTTCTAATGCAAATAGCATGTCTACGCACTGATTGATTTCTTCTAATGCAAATACCATGTCTACTCACTGATTGATATCTTCTAATCCAAATTCCATGTCTACGCACTGATTGATTTCTTCTAATGCAAATACCATGTCTACGCAATGATTGATATCTTCTAATGCAAATTTCATGTCTACGCACTGATTGATTTCTTCTAATGCAAATACCATGTCTACGCACAGATTGATATCTTCTAATGCAAATTACGTGTCTACGCACTGATTGATATCTTCTAATTCAAATACCATGTCTACGCACTGATTGATATCTTCTAAAGGCGTACCCTGTTGAATTCGTCGTGTTGTCAACTCTGAGTAAAAACCGTTGCTGTGTGAGGGTCAGCTGACCGGCGTGCCTAGTTACTGTTACTACGGGGAAGTTCTTTTGCATGATCCATGTGTCCATTACCGTCTTCACGTCAAACCCAGTTCTACCGTCAGCCTCTGCTTGCTGTTAATGCAGTATCATAATTCAATATTTCGAGAAGCTTAAATTACATGTGTTCAGTACGAAATGTACATCTTTAGCATACCTTACACCTAGATGGGAACACGTTTTAAAGTCGTAGATCTTCCAAATAAATAATTATTTTGAAATACGATAATCTCTACTAAGATCAAGACTTGTACACATTATGATGACCTATTAAGCCTTCATAGTTCAAGTCATACGTTTGACAGTGTGAATCACCACATATTGCTCGAAAGAGGTATTTTGGATAGATTCGTCTCATCTCTTTGGTCGGCCGTCAACTCATAATAATATACAATAGTAATGTGTGTGTGTTAGATAAGACAGTTTAGTTTTGCGAGAAATCGCCAATAGTTTTTTAAAAACAGAAAAGATGCCAACAAGGACGTTTATGCATCAAGGTGTACAGATACAAAAAAAATAGGAAAGCAACTGAAGAAGGTACATAGGCCCATGTACACAAAACACATCTTTTTTGTTTTACTTTTTGCAAGGCTCTCCATAAATCATCGTGGGCGACGTTCCCAAACATCTGGTCCTTTAAGTAACCCTGAAAATCGAATGGGAGAAATATCATTCCTGGCACAAAGAATGCAATTGGTTTAATGTCATAAAATATATAAAAACCTCTTGTTTTCCGGTTCGTCGTGTCAACACTAATAAAACAACACTGTATTATCTATAGAGGATATATAACGGTGTCTTAAGTAATACCAAAAAAATACCAAATGTGTGCATTGGAAAACTATGTTGAAGCAGAATATATGTTAATAACTGGAAATGAAGATAAATTAAGAAATGTTGCTAAATTTGTATATTTAGCTTTTGAAGCAAGATCAAATTATATTATATCTATGACATCATAAATTTAGTATTATTAAATCGAAAGTCAGTGCTATATATTAGTAAATTGAACGTTATAAGGTACTCTTCAGAAATTGTTTTTGATGTAAAAATTGTGTGAATATGGTTACTATGTACTGTGCAAATTGTACTATGGGCTAGTTGGCCTTGAAATACTTAATAAAATATCTTGAACTTGAACTTGAAGTAATACCAAATATATTTCACGAGTGTGGCTAATATTTTGATATCTTTCACCAGTGAAAATTATCTCATTTATGGAATAAATTATTTTCGATATTTTACTGGTAAAAATGTAATAAATTTGGTCCTTACCTCTAAGCCGCGGCGAAATGTTTCTTCTCCAAGGAAAAACCACATCATTCTGATGACAGAGGCGCCCTGCATGGTGAAACAGTCTGATAACGTTACAGCACGTAAACACATTCATGTTTATATTTTGAGAATTGTCATCATATAGCGAGGTATAAAATAAAATACCAGAAGAATGAAAAAGATAACACCGAATTGAAATCATTTATAGCCGTTTGCCAGGTGAAATATGTTGCTTTAGCTATCTTATTTAAGCTGCCTTATACATTTTTATTGTTATAATTACAAAGTAGAAAACTAGTCGTTGAGAGTGTCGTATATTATAACAGTTTAACTATAATTTAAGTTTACACAGCGAGATTTTGTTGAAATTACATAAGACTTTTAAAAAGCACCATCATGCATAATAACGTGCCTTCGAGTAGGTAATGATGTCGAACAAGTCAGCTATTTGACTGGGCGTGTAGGCCATCCGATAGATTGGTACTGTGGACTCCAGACTGTCTGCTTCCATCACCGATTGAACCACGTATGTCGTGATCAGGTCCATCTGTAACACACTCCTCCACATATCGATACTGTTCATTTATTATCTTATATTTTTACTTTCCGTCATCACATTTCCAATATTTGCTCTAAATTAAACATTATATATTGCACTTTTAAGATTCAATATTGTGAACGTATATTATCGTATAAAGCAGATCACGTCACCTTTCGTTACTTGTATCATTCTTTCCATATCAATGCTTGATTGGAGATTTTCCTTTACAAATAATAATTCAATGAACTGGAGTATATGATTCGTTTACGTACACGTTTACACGTTCAGTTAATACTTTCGAACCGGAAGTAATATTTATGCAATTTAATCATACACGCAGTTATTTAGTCATACACGTGGTTATTTAGTCATACACGTGGTTATTTAATTAGTACAATACTTTCCATTTTCCACTCAGGTAGAACCCTATCCATTCCGAGATAGGAGAGGAATGTAGCGAAGCCTTCATTTAGCCAGATGTCGTCCCACCACATCGGAGAAACTATATTACCAAACCACTGAAATATAAGGAAATCTAATTATATTGATCACAAAAGTTGTATTCTCTCTCCATGGTGTAGTGTATGTATGTATCCATTGAGAATAGTCGATCAAGAATTTATATATATGTATTTATGTATAATTGGAAATATATATGAATAGAACATCTCTACAGTACACTAACAAATTTCACAGAAGTACTAGAAAATATAACGAAAAGTTATTTTTAGTATCGTCTTTTTTTATACACACATTTATTTTGGGCGCGGGGGGGCGGGGGGGGGGGGGGGGGGGGGGGGGGGGGGGGGGGGGTGCGTGAGTGTGTTTCCGTAAAAGTTTTGAGTTATTCACTGAACCGCTGTATGCGAAAATTCTTGTGAAATATTGCATATCTATTTGATTTCATTTCAATGCCATTTTGTCTTTTATCTTTATGTTTGTTTTGCTATGTGTATTTTGTTTGAAATGTATTGCAGATGCAATATTCACCATATGAGCAAGTTCGTGGGCGATGATTTCGGCGATAACCTCGAGATTACTGGTGGTCGATATACCCTCCTCGTACAGTAAGTACAATTCCCGATACGTCACCAGCCCCCAATTCTCCATGGCGCCATAGTAGAAGTCGGGCAACGCTATGTTGTCTGTTCATACATTGTGATAAGACACATACATTGTGATAAGACACATACATTGTGATAAGACACATACATTGTGTTAAGACACTTCGGACTCAGTTGTTAGAATACACATCAAGTGACGTCAAAAATGTACACATAGTAAACCAATACAATTAAGAAATCAAAGATCGTCTTAAGCTTCCGAAACATTTTCACTTCACAAAGCAAAAAAGTAAATAATATTACAAAGTTATTTTAATTTTTGGCCCGAAATTATTTTATGATAAAGTCTAGAAATCTGTATCATCCAAACACCTTGTTAACAGTACTTACCCACTTTTGGAAGAGTGAATGATATATTGAAGTAGTTTTCAAAAGCGTCGAGCATTTTACTACCAGTGTCTAAAGCAAACGATGTTTGATTTATATATTCTGGTCGGGAAAACACTCCAAACTGAAAAAAAACAAAATGAGACAACTATGCTTTAAAATGCTTAGAAAAGACACCGATCAGTATGAGCGCGATTTAGATTGATTTGTTCAGTCAATATGAATTGGTTTGTTTTATTACATTACTATATATTTGTCAATTTTTTCAAGCCGTAAAATTTCAATAGTTAACCGAATGCATAGAAATGTCGAAATTCTTTAATTCAATTTTTATAACTTTAAAAATATATATACATATTGAAAGGACGATGTTGTGTCGTCGACGTTCAATTTTTACCAGCACCTGGTTTCGTCTCAAGTATGTTTTAAGGGTTTGACATTACTATTGATGGTATCTAGGTTCCGGTTGTTTTAGGGATTCTGATGTTTTGACATTAATATTGATGTTATCTAGGTTCCAGATGTTTTAGGGATTCTGATGTATTGACATTACTATTGATGGTATCTAGGTTCCATATGATTTAGGGATTCTGATGTATTGACATTACTATTGATGGTATCTAGGTTCCATATGATTTAGGGATTCCGATGTCTTGACATTAATATTGATGGTATCTAGGCTCCGTATGATTTAGGGATTCTGATGTTTTGACATTACTATTGATGGTATCGATGTTTCGTATGATTTAGGGATTCTGATGTATTGACATTAATATTGATGGTATCTAGGTTCCAGATGCTTTAGGGATTCTGATGTATTGACATTACTATTGATGTGATCTAGGTTCCGGTTGTTTTAGGGATTCTGATGTATTGACATTAATATTGATGTTACCTAGGTTCCAGATGATTTAGGGATTCTGATGTTTTGACATTACTATTGATGGTATCGATGTTCCGTATGATTTAGGGATTCTGATGTATTGACATTAATATTGATGTTATCTAGGTTCCGTATGTTTTAGGGATTCTGATGTATTGACATTAATATTGATGCTTTCTAGGTTCCAGATGTTTTAGGGATTCTGATGTATTGACATTAATATTGATGGTATCTAGGTTCCGGATGTTTTAGGATTCTGATGTCTCTCACTTTTTTGTTTTGTTTGATCAAAGTTCCTGTACTTGTTTTTTTTATCGGATTTGAGATCTGGATTTTTTGTTGTGTAATCAGTAACAAAATCCAAAATGATGATGAAATATGAAATACATCAATTTATTTAAAAGAAACATAACTTAACGAAATCAATGCTCCACAAAACATTCAGATACAAATTCACGATATTTTTAATGAATATAAGCAACGGTACATTTCTTTAAAAAAGTCGTCCAGTGTTTGTTAATAATCATATAAACATTAAAAACACGTCGATTTGCAAATAGATATAGAAAAGGAGATAATAAGTGTTAAGGAGATAATTAAGTATGCTAAGCACTTAAACAACTCAAGTACTCTTTGATATTGGCAAAGCAGTTTTCTCGACTTCACTCGTTCAAATATGTAACACACAATCCTGAAACGTTAAAGTATTAATCCAAGAAACGGGACGGTTTTCAATGCAATAAGCAGTTTTGACAGGAAGTGCTATTCTTTAACTTTGTTTGTCACATTACAAGTTTGAATCCGTCGACTGTAAAGCATATATAATTCTGCAGGGCTAGAATAAAATGAACATAGTGATATTATTTACAATAGAGGTTTAAATAAAGTTATTCATTAAGGAATACATTTCAAGTAGGACAGTGAAGTGGTATAGTGACCATACCTCTACGTTGTTGGAAGTCCTCTTTGTGACATTCAGGAAGTCGCAGAGTGTGAAAGCTACCAGATATGTGGACATGCTTACAGACTTATCGTACACATCAGCGTAGTATCCGTCCCCACTGAAACAGCAATAAGCTATATAACTACCAGATATGTGGACATTATTACAGACTTATCGTAGACATCAGCGTAGTATCCGTCCCCACTGAAACAGAGCAATAAGCTATATGTGGACATTATTACAGACTATGAGTGATTCATAGTAACATAGTGATCCATAGTAACATAATGATTCATAGTGATCCATAGAAACATAGTGATCCATAGTAACATAATGATTCATAGTGATCCATAGTAACATAGTGATTTATAGTAACATAGTGATTCATAGTGATCCACAGTAACATAGTGATTCATATTGATCCATAGTAACATAGTGATTTATAGTAACATAGTGATTCATAGGAACATGGTGATCCATAGTAACATAGTGATTTATAGTAACATAGTGCTTCATAGTAACATAGTGATTCATAGTGATCCACAGTAACATAGTGATTCATAGTGATCCACAGTAACATAGTGATTCATATTGATCCATAGTAACATAGTGATTTATAGTAACATAGTGATTCATAGTGATCCACAGTAACATAGTGATTCATATTGATCCATAGTAACATAGTGATTTATAGTAACATAGTGATTCATATTGATCCATAGTAACATAGTGATTTATAGTAACATAGTGATTCATAGTGATCCACAGTAACATAGTGATTCATAGTGATCCATAGTAACATAATGATTCATAGTGATCCATAGAAACATAGTGATCCATAGTAACATAGTGATTCATAGTGATCCATAGTAACATAATGATTCATAGTGATCCATAGAAACATAGTGATCCATAGTAACATAGTGATTTATAGTAACATAGTGCTTCATAGTAACATAGTGATTCATATTGATCCATAGTAACATAGTGATTTATAGTAACATAGTGATTCATAGTGATCCATAGTAACATAATGATTCATAGTGATCCATAGTAACATAATGATTCATAGTGATCCATAGACACATAGTGATCCATAGTAACATAGTGATTTATAGTAACATAGTGCTTCATAGTAACATAGTGATCCATAGTAACATAGTGATTTATAGTAACATAGTGATTCATATTGATCCATAGTAACATAGTGATTTATAGTAACATAGTGATTCATAGTGATCCACAGTAACATAGTGATTCATAGTGATCCACAGTAACATAGTGATTCATAGTGATCCACAGTAACATAGTGATTCATAGTGATCCACAGTAACATAGTGATTCATATTGATCCATAGTAACATAGTGATTTATAGTAACATAGTGATTCATAGGAACATGGTGATCCATAGTAACATAGTGATTTATAGTAACATAGTGATTCATATTGATCCATAGTAACATAGTGATTTATAGTAACATAGTGATTCATAGTGATCCACAGTAACATAGTGATTCATAGTGATCCACAGTAACATAGTGATTCATATTGATCCATAGTAACATAGTGATTCATAGTGATCCACAGTAACATAGTGATTCATATTGATCCATAGTAACATAGTGATTCATAGTGATCCACAGTAACATAGTGATTCATATTGATCCATAGTAACATAGTGATTTATAGTAACATAGTGATTCATATTGATCCATAGTAACATAGTATGTGGACATTATTACAGTCTTATCGTACACATCAGCGTAGTATCAGTCCCCACTGAAACAGAGCAATAGGTTATATAACTACCAGATATGTGGACATTATTAGACTTATTGTACACATCAGCGTAGTATCCGTCCCCACTGAAACAGAGCAATAAGTTATATAGCTACCAGATATGTGGACATTATTACAGACTTATCGTACACATCAGCGCAGTATCCGTCCCTACTGAAACAGAGCAATAAGCTATATAGCTACCAGATATGTGGACATTATTAGACTTATCGTACACATCAGCGTAGTATCCGTCCCCACTGAAACAGAGCAATACGCTATATAGCTACCAGATATGTGGACATTATTACAGACTATGAGTGATTCATAGTAACATAGTGATCCATAGTAACATAGTGATTCATAGTAACATAGTGATCCATAATAACAAAGTGATTCTTAGTAACATAGTGATCCATAGTAACATAATGATTCATAGTGATCCATAGTAACATAGTGATTCATAGTAACATAGTGATTCATAGTGATCCATAGTAACATAGTGATTTATAGTAACATAGTGATTCATAGTAACATAGTGATTCATAGTAACATAGTAATCCATAGTAACATAGTGATTCATAGTGATTCATAGTAACATAGTGATTCATATTGATCCATAGTAACATAGTGATTTATAGTAACATAGTGATTCATAGTAACATAGTGATCCATAGTAACATAGTGATTCATATTGATCCATAGTTGGACATTATTACAGACTATGAGTGATTCATAGTAACAAAGTGATTCATAGTGATCCATAGTAACATAGTGATTCATAGTGATCCACAGTAACATAGTGATTCATAGTGATCCATAGAAACATAGTGATCCATAGTAACATAGTGATTCATAGTAACATAGTGATTCATAGTGAGTCCATCGAGGATCAATTCTACTGATGATCACTGTGGATCCCTTCTTACAGAGGATCAATTCTACCGAGGATCAATTCTACTGAGGATCATTTCAACCGAGGATCATTTCTACCGAGGAACAATTCTACCGAGGATCAATTCTACCGAGGATCATTTCTACCGAGGATCATTTCTACCGAGGATCAATTCAACCGAGGATCAATTCTACCGAGGATAGTTTCTACCGAGGATTATTTCTAGCGAGGATCAATTCTACTGAGGATCATTTCTACCGAGGATCAATTCTACCGAGGATCAATTCTACCGAGGATCATTTCTACCGAGGATCAATTCTACCGAGGATAATTTCTACCGAGGATCAATTCTACCGAGGATCAATTCTAACGAGGATCATTTCCACCGAGGATCATTTCTACCGAGGATCAATTCAACCGATGATCAATTCTACCGAGGATCATTTCTACCGAGAATCATTTCTACCGAGGATCAATTCTACCGAGGATCATTTCTACCCAGGATCATTTCTACCGAGAATCAATTCTACCGAGAATCATTTCTACCGAGGATCAATTCTACCGAGGATCATTTCTACCGAGGATCATTTCTACCGAGGATCATTCCTAACGAAGATCATTTCTACCGAGGATCAATTCTACCGAGGATCATTTCTACCCAGGATCATTTCTACCGAGAATCAATTCTACCGAGAATCATTTCTACCGAGGATCAATTCTACCGAGGATCATTTCTACCGAGGATCATTTCTACCGAGGATCATTCCTAACGAAGATCATTTAAACCGAGGATCAATTCTACCGAGGATCATTTCTACCCAGGATCATTTCTACCGAGAATCAATTCTACCGAGAATCATTTCTACCGAGGATCAATTCTACCGAGGATCATTTCTACCCAGGATCATTTCTACCGAGAATCAATTCTACCGAGAATCATTTCTACCGAGGATCAATTCTACCGAGGATCATTTCTACCGAGGATCATTTCTACCGAGGATCATTCCTAACGAAGATCATTTAAACCGAGGATCAATTCTACCGAGGATCATTTCTACCCAGGATCATTTCCACCGAGAATCAATTCTACCGAGAATCATTTCTACCGAGGATCAATTCTACCGAGGATCATTTCTACCGAGGATCATTTCTACCGAGGATCATTTCTAACGAAGATCATTTATACCGAGGATCAATTCTACCGAGGATCATTTCTACCGAGGATCATTTCTACCGAGGATCAATTTTACCGAGGATCACTGTGGATCACTTCTTACAGAGGATTGATTCTACCGAGGATCAATTCTACCGAGGATCATTTCTACCGAGGATCATTTCTACCGAGGATCAATTCTACCGAGGATCAATTCTACCGAGGATCATTTCTACCGAGGATCATTTCTACCGAGGATCAATTCTACCGAGGATTAATCTACCGAGGATCATTTCTACCGAGGATCAATTCTACCTAGAATCAATTCTACCGAGGATCATTTCAACCGAGGATCATTTCTACCGAGAATCGATTCTACCGAGGATCAATTCTACCGAGGATCATTTCTACCGAGGATCATTTCTACCGAGGATCGATTCTACCGAGGATAATTTCTACCGAGATAGTAACAAAGCGAGGATCAATTCTACCGAGGTTCAATTCCACCGAGGATCATTTCTACCGAGGATCATTTCTACCGAGGATCAATTCTACCGAGGTTCAATTCCACCGAGGATCATTTCTACCGAGGATCATTTCTACCGAGGATCATTTCTAACGAAGATCAATTCTACCGAGGATCATTTCTACCGAGGATCATTTCTACCGAGGATCATTACTAACTAAGATCATTTCTACCGAGGATCAATTTTACCGAGGATCAATTCTACCGAGGATCATTTCTACCGAGGATCATTTCTACCGAGGATCAATTCTACCGAGGATCACTGTGGATCACTTCTTACAGAGGATTAATTCTACCGAGAACCAATTCTACTATGGATCAATTATATCGATGATCCATTCTACCGAAGATTCATTCTACTTAGAATTATTTCTATTCAGGTACAAATCTACCTATTATTATGTTTTGTTAGTGACAATTGTCCCGAATTTGATAATTTTCACTGATGATAACTTTTACAAGGAATCAAAGCTATTTAAGATTACTGAGGACCTGTTTATGATTATCTTCCACTTTAACTTATCTCTATCACATTCTTCTGTTTACACATACCTACTGTTTACGCTGTTTCGTTTTTTATCCGTAAACCCCACAAGGACATGCACATAGTAGGTACATTAAACACATTCTGATATGTCGTTTTGAGGCTTATGATTTATGCCAATCAAAGTCAAAGCTGTCCAAAAATTCTAGTGTATAAGGTCCTTGTCGAATCATCCACATATACCATCATGCATCATTTTTGTGTTTACTTATTAGTTTATCTGGATAAAACTATAAGAACTGTTCGGTGGGATTCTACCAAATATTAATAGAAGCTAACCAGACTTACAGGGATTCTGTTCTGTTTAGAGGCATATTTGATAGTGTAAATATTTGGGGCTGTCTTTCAAGGGTGATGCTGAATGTCGCTTTTAAAGCTGGTTCATCAAAACATGGAAAGGCACTCCTGGCGAAGGTGTGCTGGAACTGTGTCACGGCGAGGTACCTGGTGAAAAGAGATAGTGTATTAGTTGGTTGGTTTAAAAGAATATCTATAATAAGAGTTAATTTAAATTCCATTTTTTTAATTTTGTAAACTAACTCTTCTTGAAATCACAAATAATTCTACGACAACTTAATACCATAAAATGCTCAACATATTTTGAGCTGATAAAATTATAAAACAAAACGTATCTTGCCTTTATAGAACGTTAGCTAGTGTGTTTCAACAGACCAAACACGAATTCGAACGTGATTACTTATAGGGCGTATACGTTGTTAATACTAATATGTTATTTTAACAAATATTGAGAAAAGTCATTTGAGTCAATGTATTATGAAATATAAAAAAGTGTAACATTATCATCTGAACCCAAAGCAATATTCTCACCAATAAATTGTTATGGATGGTTAAAAATTTATGTTTTTAAAGTTCCATTATAAATTTGTTAAATATCCGAATGAGCTTTTGCACACGACTTACTAAAATAATACTAAATCAGTATAACGTTGTGCATGCAATGTGAGTAAAGAAAATGTTCTAATTATAAAACTTTTATACATCTTCTCACTTAGTTTCATTTGCTGCTTCACTTTGATAGGAACTCAAGTACATTCCAATAAGGTTGTCAGTTAGTTTGTCAGCAAACTGTAGCGACAGTGAGTATTGTTCCCCAGCCGTCAATTCCGTGTCCAGCATAATGACCAGAAATTCTCGTTCAGTATCCTTTGTGGTACTAGTCACAGCTGGAGCCGCTCCCCCGGGGTTGCTAACCAGTTGAACAGTAGGGGCCTGAGTTATGTTCTGAGTACCAATATGTACAGTAATGTTCTTGGTGGCGTTAACACAATCTATAAATATATCAACAGTTCCGTTAAAAGTAAATGTTTCGGGCTCCCCGTTGTAGAGTTCCGGTCGTAATGTGATGTCATAATGGTACGGTTTAACGGCAGTAGGTAGGCGTACATCAGTCATCAATGGAGGAGCAGGGGTTGTTGGATAGGTAGGGTACGTTGTATCTGTGACGTCACTAACGCCTGTGGTTGATCCAGTTGTTGCTGTTGCTGTCGTTTTTGACGAATCAGGACAAAGTCCACCTGGAATGAATCATCCCACCATTCAAATATAGATGTTAAATCGTTTGCTTATTTGGACTAATTGCGCAACGCTTTTCTTCATTTTCCATTCCGGCAAGATATTCATTTTGGTATATTTCTCATGTGTATTTTAGTAGGTATCAGTGAAAAAAATAACATTAGCTGTTTTTAAGTATTAGTACCATGATGTGGTCAAATTTTAGATGGTAATATTAATTGGAGCATATGCGGTGCTATTATCATCAACAACTAAAACGTTTTATTGAAATAATGCACACTGTTAGTACCATATGGACTTGTTTTGAATATATTGAATATAATATAAGAACTACATCTTATCCCACCACTGACATACTATATACAATTATGGACTTCAGATGAGGTCTATCCCTGATCTACGGGCCTGGTCTGAACAATATTCACAGAGGCCGAAGGCCGAGGTGAATATTGTTCACACCAGGTCCGTAAATCAGGGATGGACCGAAAATGAAGTCCACAATTGTTTTATTATATGACTTTTACAATGAGATTAATGATTTTTTTTATGTCGTAAACACTTGGATGGCATGATGGACCATTTTGGATTCACAGAGTAAATGACTTCAAGTACAAAATAACATACACAAAAATTGAATTTCAGATTCAATTCGTGTTATATTTAATTTTTAAGTAAATATTATTTGCACAATCGACATCATCAATATTCACATAATTCAGGACTTGATGAGATCATCATTTGTAGTTTAATTCAGCAGTGTGATTGGTAACAGAATTACAGACTGTCTGGGAAATTACCTAGGCCTATTTTTAGTAGCGGTCTGCAAAACTTTTCTATTTATAGAACGAGGTCTGTAACACTTTTCTATTCATAGAACGAGGTCTGTAACATATTTACAGGCTCGTCACATGACGCCGCTCCTCCAATCAGGGCTGGGAATTAGCACCAGTCATATAATATTATGATATATTGACCTCTCGAGCCGGACCAGTAAAACGATTGCGTGGAAAACGATATATTGTACTCAAACACGATTTCTCACTCCTCTCTCAATGTTAATCAATGGTCCCTACCAGTTTACAATCTATACAATAAAGACATAAAGCTACATCTTGAGAATGTCACAACGACCATTATGACTGTACAATGCTGTAAAACTCGAACAATGGAGGGGGTACACGGATGTTCCAAAGATTTATAACCTGTGGTGAAGGCCGTAGTAGAGGGTTTATTAGATAAGGAATTCAAGATATATATAAAAAAAAATCAACGCAATCAGTACATTTATAGCGTACATTATAAGGTAATGTTAATCCATTAACAAGTTCGATGTTTTCAAATTCGATCCATACTCTTTACTTATAGTTATTCCATACAAACCAAATCTATAAAAATAAAATATTTTGTGGTAATGAAATGTATAATTTAACACGTCTTTATTAGTATATCATATATATGTATAACTGTAAACTTTTGCTGGAGGAAATACAATACTTGAAAAAAACACTTCCATATTCAAGCAAGTGAGTTATATTCATTTCTACAGTATGAGTCATCAATATTCAACAGGATATTAAACTATACATTTAAACATGTTACGGACCACAATGTTTTACGGTATATTGAATAAGATGTTGTCAGTTATAAATACAAACTAAATAGCTTCACAACAACTACGAAGTGTATTAGAAAAAAACACAGTATTAGCTTGCTAAGTGAAACTCGAACGGAACAACCACCAAACTAAACAAAGTAACACATTAACTAACCACCAAACTAAACAAAGTAACACATTAACTAACCACCAAACTAAACAAAGTAACACATTAACTAACCACCAAACTAAACAAAGTAACACATTAACTAACCACCAAACTAAACAAAGTAACACATTAACTAACCACCAAACTAAACAAAGTAACACATTAACTAACCACCAAACTAAACAAAGTAACACATTAACTAACCACCAAACTAAACAAAGTAACACATTAACTAACCACCAAACTAAACAAAGTAACACATTAACTAACCACCAAACTAAACAAAGTAACACATTAACTAACCACCAAACTAAACAAAGTAACACATTAACTAACCACCAAACTAAACAAAGTAACACATTAACTAACCACCAAACTAAACAAAGTAACACATTAACTAACCACCAAACTAAACAAAGTAACACATTAACTAACCACCAAACTAAACAAAGTAACACATTAACTAACCACCAAACTAAACAAAGTAACACATTAACTAACCACCAAACTAAACAAAGTAACACATTAACTAACCACCAAACTAAACAAAGTAACACATTAACTAACCACCAAACTAAACAAAGTAACACATTAACTAACCACCAAACTAAACAAAGTAACACATTAACTAACCACCAAACTAAACAAAGTAACACATTAACTAACCACCAAACTAAACAAAGTAACACATTAACTAACCACCAAACTAAACAAAGTAACACATTAACTAACCACCAAACTAAACAAAGTAACACATTAACTAACCACCAAACTAAACAAAGTAACACATTAACTAACCACCAAACTAAACAAAGTAACACATTAACTAACCACCAAACTAAACAAAGTAACACATTAACTAACCACCAAACTAAACAAAGTAACACATTAACTAACCACCAAACTAAACAAAGTAACACATTAACTAACCACCAAACTAAACAAAGTAACACATTAACTAACCACCAAACTAAACAAAGTAACACATTAACTAACCACCAAACTAAACAAAGTAACACATTAACTAACCACCAAACTAAACAAAGTAACACATTAACTAACCACCAAACTAAACAAAGTAACACATTAACTAACCACCAAACTAAACAAAGTAACACATTAACTAACCACCAAACTAAACAAAGTAACACATTAACTAACCACCAAACTAAACAAAGTAACACATTAACTAACCACCAAACTAAACAAAGTAACACATTAACTAACCACCAAACTAAACAAAGTAACACATTAACTAACCACCAAACTAAACAAAGTAACACATTAACTAACCACCAAACTAAACAAAGTAACACATTAACTAACCACCAAACTAAACAAAGTAACACATTAACTAACCACCAAACTAAACAAAGTAACACATTAACTAACCACCAAACTAAACAAAGTAACACATTAACTAACCACCAAACTAAACAAAGTAACACATTAACTAACCACCAAACTAAACAAAGTAACACATTAACTAACCACCAAACTAAACAAAGTAACACATTAACTAACCACCAAACTAAACAAAGTAACACATTAACTAACCACCAAACTAAACAAAGTAACACATTAACTAACCACCAAACTAAACAAAGTAACACATTAACTAACCACCAAACTAAACAAAGTAACACATTAACTAACCACCAAACTAAACAAAGTAACACATTAACTAACCACCAAACTAAACAAAGTAACACATTAACTAACCACCAAACTAAACAAAGTAACACATTAACTAACCACCAAACTAAACAAAGTAACACATTAACTAACCACCAAACTAAACAAAGTAACACATTAACTAACCACCAAACTAAACAAAGTAACACATTAACTAACCACCAAACTAAACAAAGTAACACATTAACTAACCACCAAACTAAACAAAGTAACACATTAACTAACCACCAAACTAAACAAAGTAACACATTAACTAACCACCAAACTAAACAAAGTAACACATTAACTAACCACCAAACTAAACAAAGTAACACATTAACTAACCACCAAACTAAACAAAGTAACACATTAACTAACCACCAAACTAAACAAAGTAACACATTAACTAACCACCAAACTAAACAAAGTAACACATTAACTAACCACCAAACTAAACAAAGTAACACATTAACTAACCACCAAACTAAACAAAGTAACACATTCACTAACCACCAAACTAAACAAAGTAGCAAATTAACTAACCACCAAACTTAACAAAGTAACACATTAACTAACCACCAAACTAAACAAAGTAACACATTAACTAACCACCAAACTAAACAAAGTAACACATTAACTAACCACCAAACTAAACAAAGTAACACATTAGCTAAACAAAGTAACACATTAACTAAACAAAGTAACACATTAACTAACTAAGCTCAGGAAGGACCTCTACGTCAGACTTCCATCGAATTCCTCTGCTCTAAAACCCTTTTGCTAATCTCGATATACACATGAATGTCAATATAACGCGCTGAAGCACATGCCATAAAGTTCTTTATACGTAAGGTGTCTCTCATTGTTTTGCTTTATTGCAGGTAAATGCAAAGGCATGCGTGTGAAGAACAGAAAACTGCGGTATATTGAATAAGATGTTGTTTGTCAATTATTGCTGTTCAATGACGAAACATCATCAGATGTGTTATCTTATTAGTCCTCGAATAAATCAGCGTCACAATAATAGGTAGCGTAAACATGCTGTACAGATAATCTCCATTGGAGTATCGATTGTCTGTTGAAATAGTGTACCACCAATATTGACAAAATGCCGGCGACAAAAATATGGATCATATTTTATTCTTGCTGACGTTTTGTTTTTCACCAAATAAATATGATATCTTGTAAACATAGGGTCGATCGACAAATAGGTGACATTTGCTACAGATATATACCAATGGACTTCAAGTCTAACGTTTTGAACACTTTGGACGGTGAGACTTTGACATGGGCGTCCACACATTGTAGAAGAGCTGACAGACAGGTTATCTCTAAATGCCGGGTACTTGTCTGACAGTTTATTTACTCACAGGTAGTCAACACTCGTATAACTAATATATGGCAGATAATATACAACGTGCTGGTGCAGATCGTATACAACATGCTGGTTCCCAGGAACAGACTGACAGGAGCATTATAAACAATATCTGTAACAGACGAACAATGCCCAGGCTTGGCAGGTAGACAATAGTCAATGAAACAATGATTTGTAGCCAGGAATCAAA